GGCAAAGCAATTGTGACAATGATTGACAGTTGTGACAATGAGCAATGAGTGACTAGCTCCCTTAAGGTTTATTATACAACTAGTAGGAGTCTAAGAAATAAGATGGATGAGCTAAGATTACTTGCAAGTGCAGGTAATATAGGTATTATTCCTATAACGGAGACCTCCACACTGATAGGGTCAACAGGAAGGGTGGTGGAGTGGTGATGTATGTCAGAGATAATTTAAATTGTTGTGTTAGACAAGATATAAGATTAGAAACATCGGACACAGAATCTGTTTGGCTAGTTTCTCGAAGGTTGTGAAAAATTAATTTTGGGTGTGATTTATAGGCCCCCAAACCTTTATAGGGAGTGCGGTAGGCTGTTATAGGATGAAATTCATAAGGCCTCTAGATACGAAAATGTTGTGTTAATAGGAGATTTTAACTTTAGACCAGTTGATTGGAACACTGACAGGAAATCTTGAGTCTAGTGACTTTTGAAATACGGTTCAGGATTGCTTTTTAAAACAGTTTATGACAGAGCCAACTAGAAGAAACAACCTGCTCGACTTGGTTTTTGCCAACAAAGAATCACTAGTTAATAATCTTGAGGTTACTGATGAGCTTGGGAAAAGTGATCACAAATCACTTAGTTTCATCATATGGAATTACCCAGATAACTGCAATCAAGCCTTTGTTCCAGACTTCCACTTGGCCGACTTCATGGGACAGAAATTACCTGGGTGGGCTAAATTGGGATGACCTGACTATGGGTCAAGTAGGCAGTGTTGACTGCCAGTATGACGTGTTTCAGAGCATGGTGCTAGCTGCCCAGACAAATTTTGTTCCGAGTAGGGAAATTAGATCTAACAAAAATGATCCCAAATGGATAAACAATAGATTAAAACATCTCATTGGTCAAAAGAGAGGAACATATAGGCATATCAAAAGAGGAGAAGGGCAGTTAAGAAATCAATATATTCAATTAAAGAGAGAAATGAAAAAAGGAATAAAAAAAAGCAAAAAGGGATTATGAGGCTAAAGTCACAAGGGATTTGAAGACTAACCCAAAAGGCTTCTTTCAGGTGTACAGAAGTAAGATTAGGGACAAGATAGGCCCACTTAAGAGTAACTCAGGTCAGATCACTGACAGTGATGAGGATATGTGTGATTTTCAACACCTACTTCCTCTCAGTTTTTACTCTGGAAGATACTAGCGAAATTCCAGAAATAATAAATTATGAAGAACAGGACGATAAACTATGCATGATTGTGGTAACTAGTGACATGGTCCTCAAACAAATAGAGAAATTAAAACCTAACAAATCCCCAGGCCCTGATCAACTGTTTGCAAGGGTTTTAAGGAATGTAAAGGGGAACTAAGCATACTTTTGGCTAATCTTTTCAATATATCACTACAAACTGGCATAGTGCCTGACAAGTGGAAAATGGCAAATGTAATATCTATTTACAAGGCAGGTGACAGATCCTTAGCTTTGAACTATAGGCCTTACCTCCATAGTGGGAAAATTTATGGAATCAATAATTGCTGAAGCAGTTCGTAGCCATCATGAAAGGCATAAATTGATTAATGAATCTCGGCACGGTTTTACAAAGGGGCTTTCCTGTCTTAGGAATTTACTAACTTTCTTCACTAAGGTATTTGAGGAGGTAGATCATGGTATTGAATATGATATTGTGTATATGGACTTCAGTAAGGATTTTGATAGAGTTCCACATCAGAGGCTATTGAGGAAACTTAAGGCACATGGAAGAGGAGGAAAAAAATTTTCCTGGGTAGAGGCATGGTTGATAAATAGGCAGCAGAGAGTTTGCATCTCTCCTACCTCCACCCTTCTCCTTGTTGCAACATTCACCACCCATGCTCCACACCCATATATGAGTATTCGTATAGCTATACTCTCATACATTCCCCTCTTTACTTTTATGGATAAAGTTCTTGTCTCCACAGACTCCTCAGTGCAACACTCATCTTTTTCCCCTTGTCAATTCTATGATTCACTTCATCCTTCATAGACCCATCTGCTGACACGTCCACTCCCAAATATTTGAACATGTTCACGTCCTCCATACTCTCTCCCTCCAATCTGATATCCAATCTTCCATTACCTAATTTTTTTATCCTCATCACCTTACTTTTTCTTATGTTCACTTTTAATTTCCTTCTTTTACATACCCTACCAAACTCATCAACCAACCTCTGCAACTTTTCAGAATCTCCTAAAAGCACAATGTCATCAGCAAAGAGCAACTATGACAACTCCCACTTTCACAAATGTTACAAAGAAAAGCTTCAGGCATTGAACATGCTCTAATTTGCTAATAGGAGGAAAACTACATGAAAGTAATAAAGATTATCTAATGATGCCAATAAGAAGAGCAAGTAGCCATAGCTAGCGAGTAAGGAGGTAAAGATGCTGAAATGATCCTAGAAAGTTCAACATAAACAAAGTGGTAGAAGAGTAAGGTGGGGTTACAGCAGGCAGTAAGTACTATAAGCACTGACAACTTAATAATTATGTGGTACATTAAATACTGAAGATGCATTACCATGAGCTTGTATTCTGGTCCTTATTCCACAAACACAGTACATAATTACAATTCTTAATACAGACTTGAAGAGCAACTCAAATAAGACTGAAATCAACCATCTGCTGAACTTAGGGTCCCTGTGTCTGTCATTTGCTTAATTTTGGCTTGTGATTTCTTCACACGTTCATTATTTCTCTGCGCTGTCTCCTATGCTCCAGATACACCTCTGCATGCCTCATGGTGCATGTTTGTTTGGCCTCCATATATTTTGCTCTTAGCATATATGCCTGCTTTGTGTCTGCTACTCATGTTTTTTATATAAATATTAACAATGTATGTATGTGTGTGTGTGTATTTTTTTCTTTAATGCACAAACCTTATACATATACATATATGAATACATAAAAGAAAATATTGAAGGGCACATGGTTTTGGTAGTATTTCAACTATCCAGTACAGTGGTCAGAATTTAGCAATTTTGCCAATTTCACACAAATTTCAAAAGATGCCAATTTCCGAATAGGGTCCAGAATAAACAAGAAAGACATTCCTGGCACTAAAATGACATTTCCTCTGTTCATTAGTCACGTCTCAAAGCCCCTCTTACATTCTTTTGCTTTCCACTTTGAATTTTTATTCTCACAAAAAATAGAAGATTTACTGTTATGCAGACTACTGCATTAGTGTAAAAAATGGTATAAATAATATTGGCGCACTTGCAAAAGAATATTAGACTCACCAGTAGACGTGTATTGGACGCTTGGCATGATTTGTTTACTTTTGAACTTTGGTAAAAATTGAACATTTCTGCTACTTTGAGCTCAATTTCAAGGTACTTTTCATTGTAAAACCAGTCAAAATCATCTCAATTTCTGTAATATGTCTTCCATTCTATAAAATAAGACCAAGAAAACTAGAATACAACAATAAATACCATACGAAAATACAGTGCAAAGTCGCTGTTTTATTCCAAAAAAACGGTCAGAGTTTTTTTTTTCTCATTATGCACTGTGTGCTGCAGGATTTTTTTTATACTGTGCACACTGACCACATAGACCCATTCTTTCATATGTAGGCCTACCAGCTTTCTCCCACTAGATTTGAGGGTGCTAGAATTTAGGTGTACTAGTACGTCAAAAACCCTGGGTCGTAAGCCGTACTAGTACGGCCAAAACCCTCAAAGGGTTAAACTTCAATGGTAATAATTATTATTTGCAAGCATCGTTGGGCTGCTGGAACTACAGCCATTTACTGTGAAAATGCTCATAGGTGGCAGCCATGACAGACCTTGAATATCTTTTTTTTTTTTTTTTTTTTTTTTTTTTTTTTTTTCCAGAGTGGTGGACTTCTTGGCTAGGATTGAAGAGATATTTTTTCATTGCAAATGTGGAAACCATTAAAAATTATATGAAAAACAAAGCATCACTAAAAATGACTGCAAATAGGTGTACTTTTTTTTTTTTTATTTTTAATACATTGGCTGTCTCCCACCGATGTAACGCATTCTGAAAATGAAGAAACATTTTCACAATCACACACTCCATCACTATCTTGCCAGAGGAGTAGAGGAGTGCCGATATTACAGTTCAGATACTCCTCCAAAATGTAATATCCTCACTCTTGCCTCAGAGTGCAGGCACTGTGATTCTCATCTCCACCTAGTTCTTGTACTGAGAATGAAATTAAGTTAAACTTCCGAGCGTATGTTTTTAAGTGTTCTTCATGCTAATTTGGTTATTGTTCTTTGCATCTTTGGCCCAGGTTTTATTAAACAAACTGACTTTAAATCCAAACTTCCTTGTGTTTTATTCTATTATAAACTAGCTTGCATCATTCCTTCTCTTAATCCAGTAATTTTTATGTCTCATTCTTAGTGTTAGGTTATTCAGTATTATTATAAATGCATCTTATGTTGATTAAGCTACAGTTCTTCGAGGTATTAAATATCTTGTTAAATACTAGAGTATGTAAATTAATATGCTTTTTCTCTAGAGAATAGATTATCAGTAGAAATATTTTATTGATGATTAAGATACATTTGCAACAGTTGGGTATCTTTATCAGTTAAATGCAGAGAAGAATGTATTGTAGGCAGCAATCAAAATACAGAGAAGAATATATTGTAGGCAGCAGTAATAGTGGTCTAGTATGATATTCCAGACCATAGAGCTGAATTCTTCTCCAGGCTGAGGGATTGACCACCTCAAACTATATCTCCAAGATTGATGGACTGATTACATCTCAACCTCACCACCATTCCTGCTGTCTGCAATACATTCTCCATTTGACTGATTAAACCTATCATGTAGGTGAAACTTTTCAACAATAAAGAGACCCAACTGTTGCACATGTTACTTAATCATCAACTTATTGGTGTTTTATACCATTTTCAAAGTATTTTATTATACCCTGAGTCAATGTTTCTAATGTTCCAGATGGGTTTAACCTTCGTTTTTAATTTCAGGTGACTCCTTGAGCACAGTTGAAGTGTATGATCCCATTGTTGGCAGATGGCAGATGGCAGAGAGCATGTCTATGCTTCGATCTCGAGTAGGGGTTGTTGTAATGAAGAAGAAACTGTATGCCATTGGTGGCTATAATGGCCTAGATAGACTAGCTACAGTAGAAGTCTTTGATCCAATTAGCAAATGTTGGAGCAAAGTATGCCCTATGAACTGCAAGCGAAGGTAAATTTTATTTGTACCTATTAGCATTTTGCTCTTTTTAAGAGCTCATTGCCACTACAGTTAGAGAACGATTAGTCAGGCATTGTCTTCTAGAATTATATGCAAATAACCCACATATAGGAGAAAGAAACTTATGACAACATTAACTGGTCACACTGGTCCAAGTCTAACTGAAACGTCGTCATAAGTTTCTCTCTCCTATGTGCTGGTTATTTGGGTATTGTTCCAGTCACGGTATTGTGCCTTTTTATTCTTCTAGAATTATTGCGCTTTACACATCTGCATGTTCTTCGTGCATTGGTAATAAAAGTTATTTTCCTAATCGATATTGAATATAATTATATAATTACTGTTATTAGATATGTAGTTGTACATTAAATAAGAGTGAGTATAGTGAGCATGTTAGGTAGCAGTGAATGGAGATGAATAGTTTTTGGGACCAGATGAGCTGTTGGAGTGTGAGCAGGGTAATATTTTGTGAAGGGATTCAGGGAAACCAGTTAGCCAGACTTGAGTTCTGGAGGTGGGAAGTACAATGCCTGCACCTTAAATGAGGGGTTTGGGATATTGGCTGTTTGGAGTGACTTTTAAATGCATATCTGGGCACCTCTGCAAAGACAGTGATTATGTGTGAATGGTGGTGAAAGTGTTGAATGATGGTGAAAGTGTTTCTTTCTTTTTTGGGTCATAATGTAATAAAGTTGGTAGAAGTACCAACAATATATATAGTGTTGGAGTGGTTGGTACTTTTGTTTAATAAATGTATGAAAGAGGGGAAGGTACCTAGGGATTGGCAGAGAGCATGTATAGTCCCTTTATATAAAGGGAAAGGGGACAAAAGAGATTGTAAAAATTATAGAGGAATAAGTTTACTGAGTATACCAGGAAAAGTATACGGTAGGGTTATAATTGAAAGAATTAGAGGTAAGACAGAATGTAGGATTGCGGATGAGCAGGGAGGCTTCAGAGTGGGTAGGGGATGTGTAGTTCAAGTGTTTACATTGAAGCATATATGTGAACAGTATTTAGATAAAGGTAGGGAAGTTTTTATTGCATTTATGGATTTAGAAAAGGCATATGATAGAGTGGATAGAGGAGTAATGTGGTAGATGTTGCAAGTATATGGAATAGGTGGTAAGTTACAAAATGCTGTTAAGAGTTTTTATGAGGATAGTGAGGCTCAGGTTAGGGTGTGTAGAAGAGAGGGAGAATACTTCCCGGTAAAAGTAGGTCTTAGACATGGATGTGTAATGTCACCATGGTTGTTTAATATAGTTATAGATGGGGTTGTAAAAGAAGTAAATGCTAGGGTGTTCGGGAGAAGGGTGGGGTTAAATTATGGGGAATCAAATTCAAAATGGGAATTGACACAGTTACTTTTTGCTGATGATACTGTGCTTATGGGAGATTCAAAAGAAAAATTGCAAAGGTTAGTGGATGAGTTTGAGAATGTGTGTAAAGGTAGAAAGTTGAAAGTGAACATAGAAAAGAGTAAGGTGATGAGGGTATCAAATGATTTAGATAAAGAAAAATTGGATATCAAATTGAGGAGGAGGAGTATGGAAGAAGTGAATGTTTTCAGATACTTGGGAGTTGACGTGTCGGCGGATGGATTTATGAAGGATGAGGTTAATCATAGAATTGATGAGGGAAAAAAGGTGAGTGGTGCGTTGAGGTATATGTGGAGTCAAAAAACGTTATCTATGGAGGCAAAGAAGGGAATGTATGAAAGTATAGTAGTACCAACACTCTTATATGGATGTGAAGCTTGGGTGGTAAATGTAGCAGCGAGGAGACGGTTGGAGGCAGTGGAGATGTCCTGTCTAAGGGCAATGTGTGGTGTAAATATTATGCAGAAAATTCGGAGTGTGGAAATTAGGAGAAGGTGTGGAGTTAATAAAAGCATTAGTCAGAGGGCAGAAGAGGGGTTGTTGAGGTGGTTTGGTCATTTAGAGAGAATGGATCAAAGTAGAATGACATGGAAAGCATATAAATCTATAGGGGAAGGAAGGAGGGGTAGGGGTCGTCCTCGAAAGGGTTCGAAAGAGGGGGTAAAGGAGGTTTTGTGGGCAAGGGGCTTGGACTTCCAGCAAGCGTGCATGAGCGTATTAGATAGGAGTGAATGGAGACGAATGATACTTGGGACCTGACGATCTGTTGGAGTGTGAGCAGGGTAATATTTAGTGACGGGATTCGGGGAAACCGGTTATTTTCATATAGTCGGACTTGAGTCCTGGAAATGGGAAGTACAATGCCTGCACTTTAAAGGAGGGGTTTGGGATATTGGCGGTTTGGAGGGATATGTTGTGTATCTTTGTACGTATATGCTTCTAAACTGTTGTGTTCTGAGCACCTCTGCAAAAACAGTGATAGTGTGTGAGTGTGGTGAAAGTGTTGAATGATGATGAAAGTGTTTTTTTGGGGGGGATTTTCTTTCTTTTTTGGGTCACCCTGCCTCGGTGGGAGACGGCCGACTTGTTGAAAAAAAAAAAAATGTAAAGTAAAAGGACACAAGTGCCATTTTTATTGTGGCAACGTTTCGCTCTCCAGGAGCTTTGTCAAGCCGTTACAAACAGTACATGGACACAGAGGGTATATATAGGCTCCGAGTGAGGTGCAATACTAGTGGTAGTAGTAGTAGTGATATAAGTTGTAGTAGTAGTAATACAATATGTTAGAACAATTAATTCACACCAGCTTCCAATAGAAACATTTGTCTAACCTATTTTTATGTTACCCAGGTAATAGCTTTTATATCCTTTTACTCATGTGCGAGTTAATTGTTCTAACATGTTGTATTACTACTACTGCTACTACTACAACTTATATCACTACTACTACTACTACCACTAGTATTGCACCTCACTCTGAGCCTATACATACCCTCTGTGTCCATGTACTGTTTGTAATGGCTTGACAAAGCTCCTGGAGAGCGAAACATTAGTTGCACTTGTATCCTTTTACCTTACATTGGGTCACCCTGCCTCGGTGGGAGACAGCTGATGCTTTAAAAACAAAAAACAGATGTTTCTTGGATGGAATGCTTCACTTGGAGGCTAAGAATAAAAGTAGTATTGTTAGGAGAGGTGGAGATAAAGTAAACAATCAGTGTAACAGACCATGATATAGCAGACTTATAAAATTATGGGCAAAAATCCATTGGGTAAAGTGTTCTTTTAACTCATTCATTTTGAATGTTTATTGCAATATATTTGTGTATAGTGTTATATTAGGTGTACATTAGAGTACTTCAGTGCGTGCTTTGCTGCTTTTTTTAATATTCAGATTTAACGGACACCCAGACAGTCCTCCCATTAGTCCATTATATCAAGTTTATTGTGCATTAAAAAACTGAATATTAACCTTTTCAGGGTCCAAGGCCCAAATCTGAAGTGGTGCCCCAGTGTCCAAGAATTTTCCCAAAAAAAATTTGTTATTTTTTCTTATGAAATGGTAGAGAATCTTTTTGCGAAGGTAATAAAACAAAAAGTACGAAATTTGATGGAAAATTGACGAAATTATGCTCTCGCGAATTTTGATGTGTCAGCGATATTTACGAATCGGCGATTTTGCCGACTTTGAATTCCATTTTAGGCCAATTACATCATTCCAGTCGACCAAATTCTTAGCTATTTTACTAGTATTACTTCTATTCTATCGATTGAGCACAAGAAATCGCCAAGTCAACTGTTTCAACTACAAAATAAAGTGATCGGAAATTGGTAATTTGGCCAATTTAACACAAAGTTCAAAATATTCCAATTTCAAAATAGCATCCAGAATAAACAATGTAGGCATTCCTGGCACTAAACTAACATTTCCTAGGTTCATTAGTTACGTTTTGAGGCTTTACAAATAAATCCCATTTTTATTTTTTATTTACATAATGAATTTTTATTCACACCAAAAAATAGAAGATTTACTGTTATGCAATATTGTAATAATTGTATAAATATCATCACCACATTTGTGAATGTGTATTAGATCCACCAGCTGGCGTGTATTAGACGTGTGAGGTCGTTTGTTTACTCTTGAACACCGACAAAAATTTAACATTTCTGCTACTTTGAGCTCAGTTTCAAGCCATTTCCGTTGCTAAAACCAATCAAAATCATCTCTATTTCTGTAATATGTCTTCCATTCTATCAAATGAGACCAAGAAATTGCAAATACAACTATAAAAAACATACGAAAAAACACTGCAAAGTTGCTGTTTTAATCGAAAATCTTGGTTTCAGTTTTTTTCTCTCTCATTATACACAGTGTGCTGCAGGATTTGTTTTATGTGGTGCACACATACCACATAGATGTATTCTCTCATATCTAGGCCCAAGTGTACCACTCACAGTTTATCAGAGTGAGCTGAGCTCATGACGTAGATCTACGGTTTGGACACTGAACGCAAAGCCGTAGATCTACGGGATGGACCCTGAAAGGGTTAAGGCATGATTAACCCTTAAACTGTCCAAACGTAGATCTACGTTCACGTGCGTAGTGCTCCGAAAGTAGATCTTATGTTTTTTTTACATGCTTTCAAATGGAAAAATAAAGGTCGGAGCGCTACTCACGTGAACATAGATCTACATTTGGACAGTTTAAGGGTTAAATGTTAAGGAAAGGGATTTTGTGAATGAGGCAAGGAGGTATAAGATTTTCTAGGAGAGAAGAGCCAGAGATGTGTATGGAGGAGGTGGATAGGTTGAAAGTATAAAAAGTAGCAGGATACAAATGTTAAAGTAGATGACGATATAGTTTTGATGTTTGTGGCATATTTGTTTAATAACCTATCACCTATTTTATACATTTGCTACAACTGTCATGTTTCTCCTTTGTCCACACTGTTATATTCTTTTTTTCCTTAATCCATAAATGCACCAAGAAGCTCTATATTCCATTTCTCATTTTTTTTTTTTTAACAAGTCAGCCGACTCCCACCGAGACAGGGTGACCAAAAAGAAAGAAAAAATCCCAAAAAGAAAATACTTTCATCATCATTCAACACTTTCACCTCACTCATACATAATCACTGTTTTTGCAGAGGTGCTCAGAATACAACAGTTTAGAAGCATATAGGTATAAAGATACACAACATATCCCTCCAAATTGCCAATATCCCAAACCCCTCCTTTAAAGTGCAGGCATTGTACCTCCCATTTCCAGGTCTCAAGTCCAGCTATATAAAAATAACCGGTTTCCCTGAATTTTTCTTTTTTTTTTTTTATATTATTTCAACAGTCGGCGTCTCCCACCGAGGCAGGTGACCCAAAAAAGAAGAAATCCCAAAAAATACTTTCTCATCATTCACATTCACCAACTCGAACATTTCACTGTTTTTGCAGGTGCTCGAATACAACAGTCCTAGCATAACCATAAAGATACAAACTTATCCCTCCAACTGCCATTCCCCAACCCTCTTTAAGTGCAGGATTGTACTTCCCTTTCCAGGCTCAAGTGATATATAAACCCTTCACTAAATATTACTGCTCCACTCCAACACTCGTAGGTCCAAAATCATTCGTCTCCATTCACCTCTATCTAACATGCTTACGCACTTTGTGAAGTCCAAGCCCCTCAGCCCACAAACCTTTTACCCTCCTCAACCTTTTCGACACGACCCCTTTCCGCATCTCCCTGCCATTAACACTCTCCATGTCAGTCACTTTGATCCACTTTCTCTAAATGACAACCCTCACAAGACCCCTTGTCACCCTCTGACTTAATACTTTTTTTAACTCCTCTCCTCCTAATTCAATCGAATTTTTTATATATTTACACCCCACATTGCCCTTAGACAGGACATCTCCACTGCCTCCACATCCTCACTGGCATTTACATCCAGCTTCCCCTATAAGAGTGTTGTACCACTATACTTTCATACATTCCCTTCTTTGCCTCCATAGATAATGTTTTTTTTGTCTCCACATATACCTCAACACACCACCCACCTTTTTTCTTCATCAATTCTATGGTTAACCTCATCCCTTATAAATCCATCCGCTGACACGTCAACTCCCAAATATCTGAAAACGTTCACTTCTTCCATACTCCTTCTCTCCAATTTGATATTCAATTTTTCTTTATGTAAATCATTTGATACCCTCATCACCTTACTCTTTTCTATGTTGACTTTCAACTCTCTACCATTACACACACTCCCAAACTCATCCACTAACTTTTGCAGTTTTTCTTTAGAATCTCCCATAAGCACAGTATCGTCAGCAAAAAGTAACTGTGTCAATTCCCATTTTGTATTTGATTCCCCATAATTTAATCCCACCCCTCTCCCCAACACCTAGCATTTACTTCTTTTACAACCCCATCTATAAATATATTAAACAACCATGGTGACATTACACATCCCTGTCTAAGACCTACTTTTACTGGGAAGTAGTCTCTCTCTCTTCTACACACCCTAACCTGAGTCTCACTATCCTCATAAAAACTCTTTACAGCATTTAGTAACTTACTACCTATTCCATACACTTGCAGTATCTGCCACATTGCTCCCCAATCCACTCTGTCATATGCCTTTTCTAAATCCATAAATGCAACGAAAACTTCTCTACCATTATCTAAATACTGTTCGCATATATGCTTCAATGTAAACACTTGATCTACACATCCCCTACCCACTCTAAAACCTCCTTGCTTATCCGCAGTCCTACATTCTGTCTTACCTCTAATTCTTTCAATAATAACCCTACCGTACACTTTTCCTGGTATACTCAGTAAACTAATTCCTCTATAATTTTTTACAATCTTTGTCCCCCTTCCCTTTATCTAAAGGAACTATACATGCTCTCTGCCAATCCCTAGATACCTTCCCCTCCTTTCATACATTTATTAAACAAAAATACCAACCACTCTAACACTATATCCCCTCCTGCTTTTAATATTTCTGTCATAATCCCATCAGTTCCAGCTGCTTTACCCCCTTTCATTCTACATAATGCCTCATGCACCTCCCCCACACTCACATCCTGCTCTTCTTCACTCCTAAAAGATGGTATACCTCTCTGGCCAAGTGCATGAAATTTCTGCCTCCCTTTCTTTATTGACATTTAAAAGTTCCTCAAAATATTCCCGCCATCTACCCAATACCTCCATCTCCCCATCTACTAACTCCCCTATTCTATTTTTAGCTGACAAATCCATTCATTCCCTAGGCTTTCTTAACTTGGTTAACTCCAAAATTTTTTCTTATTTTCATCAAAATTTCTTGACAGTGCCTCTCCCACTCTATCATCTGCTCTCCTTTTGCACTCTCTCACCACTCTCTTCACCTTTCTTTTACTCTCCATATACTCTGCTCTTCTTATAACACTTCTGCTTTGTAAAAACCTCTCATAAGGTACCTTTTTCTCTTTTATCACACCCTTTACTTCATCATTCCACCAATCACTCCTCTTTCCTCCTGCACCCACCCTCCTATAGCCACAAACTTCTGCCCCACATTCTAATACTGCATTTTTAAAACTATTCCAACCCTCTTCAACCCCCCCCTCCCACACTACTCATACTTGCACTAGCCCACCTTTCTGCCAATAGTTGCTTATATCTCACCCGAACTTCCTCCTCCCTTAGTTTATACACTTTCACCTCTCTCTTACTTGTTGCCATTTTCCTCTTGTCCCATCTACCTCTTACTCCAACTGTAGCTACAACTAAATATTGATTGAATACAAACACTAGGGTCACTCATTCCCTTCTCTGGTGAAATCCTTATCAATTTCTTTCTCATGTTTGGGAGACAGACAGCCCTAAGCTGGTAATTCCTAAGTAGTAACGTAGAAGATCCAGCCATGTTAAACAAAACCTTTGAAGCTTCTATAGCTACTGAAGACAGTGGAATATTTAACTGTATTTTTATTACCTTACTGAAATCTCAGAGCTCAGGCTGACAGATTTCATCATTTCTGCATATTATTTATTTTCACAATGTAATTCTCATCTTGTTTAGTTTTGTTGATCACATGACTCCACATTTGTCAATGGATCATCAATACACCATTGTCAACCAGCATAGTGATGGAATTTGTAATTTTTGCCATACTGAATACATATGTTAGTTATTTTTATGGAACACCTTCATTTCCAGTGCTGTTGGTGCTGCAGTTCTAAATGATCACTTATATGTGTGTGGAGGCTATGATGGGGTCGCGTCTCTCAACACAGTGGAGTGCTACAACAGTGAAACAAACAAATGGGTCATGGTCACATCAATGACCAAGCATCGAAGTGCAGCAGGAGTAGTTGCTTTTGACGGCCACGTATATGCTATTGGAGGTCATGATGGCCTTTCTATATTTGATTCGGTAAATATAACTAGCTCTGTAAAATGAATTTTTTATAAGGGTTTATGTCATGTCTTGAAATTCTTGTGTAAAGCAGTGTCCCACTGTGAGAACATTACTGCTCCATACTGGTATAGGTTTAATATGATATGCCAAAATTGTTGCTGTCTAGTTTCTCTTGGCCTTGCACCCGACCAGCTGAGCTCACTCATTGGTGTTTGTTCGTGCCAATGAGGAGTCAAATGCTCAGGTTCTCTTTTCTTTTAGATAGGAATATATGTATTCCCCATTTTGCTGTTAAAAAGTGCAGGGTTTATTATTGTTAGTGGCAGTTTCACTTTAGTGGGTGAAAACTTACACTGTGGCTGACATGGCATACTATCAACAAGCACACAGACAGAGACAGAGTTCAGAATAAACTTTAACTGGGACATTTTGCTCAGTGTAGAGCTTATCAAGTCATGATGATGTGATGAAACTCTTCATAGTGAAACATTATCCCAGTACAAGTTTATTTTACAATATATGTCTTAGTCTGCCTAACTTATATTGTAGTGAAAAGACAGAATTACAGAGAGGAACTTCATTGAGATGTTTCACATGTGGAACAGGCTTCTTCAGTCAGTATACAGGGATGCACAACAAGCAAATTTATAAAAGTATAGTCAGGTTAGTGGTTGTTGTGTATCCATGTACATCAACTGAAGATCATTCCACAGAAGAAATGTCTTGGTAAAGTTCTCCTCTGCAATTGTGTTTTTCTTACCATTTATCTCTAAACTTATACTGTATTGAATGAAACTGATGTTGCAAGAAATAAGCAGTTCAATTTTTGAGTGTACAAAACATGAAAGAGAAGGTGTATACTTGTCACAGAGGTCGAGGGTGCCAGCCACATTTACTAGTTCAGAGTAAAGTACCTTTTTGTATGTATTAACCCTTAAACTGTCCAAACATAGATCTACATTTTTTTTTCAACATTTGAAAGTATTTAAAAAAAGTAGATCTTCTTTTCTTTTTTTACATTTGAAAACATGTAAAAAAAACTTTGATCTACATTTTTTTTTTTGTTATATTTGAAAATATGTAAAAAAAAACGTAGATCTACTTTTGGAGCACTATGCATGTGAACATAGATCTGCTTGGACAGTTTAAGGGTTAATCTACTCTGAAGCTTAATGCCTTTATTTGAGCCAGATTATGTGATGCTTCGATCCTTCAGCAGTTATTGTCTTGACATTCTCCAGGCCATTAAACAAACAAACAAACAATGGTTAAAGGATTACCAGTGTTTGTTTCCATTCACCAGTTATTAAGAATTGATAGTTACCAACATTATTCTGTGTTGTCATCCAGCATGTGACCCTATGTGGTAATTTGCTCCTTTGGTCCTGTTTATAATGACATGCAAAATTGTATTACGGGGTGTTGCTTTATAAGAGGGCTCAAACAGATTTTTTTTTTTTAACATGCTGGCCGTCTCCCACCGAGGCAGGGTGACCGACCCAAAAAAAGAAACTTTTATCATCACTCAAACTATCACTGTCTTGCCAAAGGTGGGCAGATACAACAGTTTAGATGTCATTCTAAACAGCAAATTTCCCAGGCCCCTCCTTTAGAGTTGAGGCACTATACTTCCCACCTCCAGGACTCAAGTCCAGGTAACCAATTTCCCTGAATCCCTTCACAAATATTACCCAGCTCACACTCCAATAGCTCGTCAAGTTTCAAAAACCATTTGTCTCCACTCACTCCTATCTAACATGTCCACTTATGCCTGCTATGTCTAAGCCCCTTGCACACAAAACCTCCTTTACCCCCTCCTACCATTCTTTCCTAGGAATACTTCTACCCTTCCTCTTCTCCACTGTAAATTTATGCACTCTCCAAGTCATCCGATTTTGTATGTGTACTTGTAGATGTAAAGATTATTTTTATTATTATTCTTATTACAGTGAAAATAGGAAAAACACCTGAGGATGTGTGTGTAAGCAAATGAAAGTTCTCATGTGTTTTTCCTATTTTCATTGTTTTTTTTTTTTTTTTTTTTTTCAACAAACCGGCCATATCCCACCAAGGCAGGGTGGCCCAAAAAGAAAACCAAAAGTTTCTCTTTTTAAATTTAGTAATTTATACAGGAGAAGGGGTTACTAGCCCTTTGTTCCCGGCATTTCATTGTGGTATTTTTATGTATGTGCAGTCACAATTATTGTAATTTCTTCCATATGTATATACAGAAAAAGTTTGATGAAACAGTTCCACATAAAGTGAATGTTGGTTAAAATGGACAAAAAATCTGGCTGGACAAAGGCTCAACATGTCCGATTAAAATAGCCATGAAGTGGAAAACAGATTCTGAATTCTAAACAGTCGACTTGTGAGAAACCTTCAGGAATGTGTTAACATAGTAATCAAGGGATCTACTCTGTTGGAATTCAGTTTATTAAAGTATATTTTGTGTGTTTGTTTCTACATGACTTGTAAATATGACTTAATGTTTTTTATATCTGTTTGTTAGGTGGAGCGATACGATCCAACAACGGGTCAGTGGACTCCCGTTACTCCGATGCTGAGCAAGCGATGTCGTCTTGGTGCAGCTACGCTGGATGGGAAGTTGTATGTATGTGGGGGCTATGATGGCTCGACCTTTTTGAGGACAGTAGAAGTTTATGATCCTATCACCAGTAGGTAAGCTATTCAGATACTTCTTTTCTACTGTGATTACCATATCTCATATTACATCAGTTTTTGCATGTGCAAAAAGAGTCCACAAGTACTGAAGATAAAAAATCATATTCTCACTTTCAATTGTCAGAAACTTTAGCAGCAGGAAATTTATTTTATACTGAAACTGAAGTGTTGTATATATTTCACTGTCACATACTGTTTATAGAGGAGGCATCAATAACTCTAAAGCAGTAATAATGGTAGAATAACTGACAAGATGTTAGGTAAAAGGACACACGCAACTAATGTGACATTTTATTATGGTAATGTTTTGCCTGGAGCTTAACAAAGCTCCTGGAGAGAATATTAATTGCATGTGTGTCCTTGTACCTAACAACACTTAAGCAGTACAGTTTCATTAGGTATCCTCCAAAAGGGGGATACCTGTAGTGGTGGTTAGATTTTGTCCTTCCTTTGTGATTATTGGTGTGATAACTTGAGAATGACTTGTCTGATGGGCTTCAAACTCTTAGCACTACTGACTTTCCTGATTGGCCTCAATCTTTTATTACTAGTGGATCCTGCATAAAGGAAGATTCAAATTATTGAACTCTGTTGGTGCCAGTTAGCTTAATGTATAATAATTAGATACGTATCCAGCAAGCCAGACTTGAGTCCTGGAGATGGGATGTACAGTGTCTGCACTCTGAAGGAGGGGTGTTAATGTTACAGTGTTATAACTGTAGTGTAAGCATGCCTCTGGCAAGACAGTGATGGAGTGAATGATGATGAAAGCTTATTTTTGGGCCACCTTGCCTTGGTGGTAATCAGCCGATGTGTTAATAAAATAAAAAATAAAATAAATAACTTGAGTATATCCTCCACAGGGAATTGGAGAAAAATCCTTCCTCTGTAAGCCATGCATGTTGTAAGAGGTGACTAAAATGCTAGGAGCAAGGGGTCAGTAACCCCTTCTCCTGTGTAAATTACTAAATGTAAAAAAGAAGAAAAAAGTGTTTCTTCTTTTTCAGGTCACCCTGCTTTGGTGGGAGACTGGCAGCATGTTAAAAAAAAGAATTGAGTATGCCTCTTGAGCAACTTCAAATTTAAAATTCTTATGTATCTAACCCGAGATAACATTCAGGAAAGTTTTGGGATGTAGAGGTTCAAATTTGTAAATAAATAAAAAAAAATAGAGTTATTGATTTATGTGCAATAACTTGAAAATGACTTTTCTGATCAACTTCAAATTTGCAATACTGGTGTATTTTGCATTAAGGAAAATTCACAGTATTATTGGGTTATGTAAGATTAGGTTATTGATTTCCGTGCAGTAACTGAGAATGCCTTTTCTGGTAGGCCTCAAATTTAAAATACCGATATACCTTACTTAGTAGGAGGCTTGTTTTCTTATTGGCCATTTTAGGTACTAGTTTTTCAATTTAATTAAAAAATTTGGTGGCATCTTTCACTTCTGGAGCACACATAAAAAGGGGGTCAAAAATTTAGCAGAATGTCATGCCATCATATTTTGAACATAATTGTCATTAGGCATTTAGGAGAATATAAATTTTTATCTTATTACAACAAATTCAGTTGAGCTTAATTCAAAACTTTAATTATTATGTTTTACAATGTTATGCCCCAGCATATTCCCTGGCATAGCAGACAAACTGGTGCAATTTTAAAAGATCATCCTTTTGGTTTCAAGAATATGACAGCCAGGCTGACATTCCTGACGACCATTGTCTACTTGCCTTGACAGTGTCCTGTGTATTGTAGCAAAAGCTTAACAGATATTGCAAACCTCGTTTTGTTTGATTTATTGTGTATTTTCAGTGGTTTGACTTTGTTGAATTCCAGCTCCTGGGTCTATTTAAGTGTTGGACTATCACTCTTGCACCTCTTGATGGTATTGATCTACAGAGTAGGGCCTTTTGAGAGTGCTTGCCTTATTGAGTTAGTTGAGCTAAAACCCATGGGCCTCTTGAAGATGTTGGTCTCTAGCTGTTGGACCTCTTGGCACGGTTCTGTTATAGCTCCTGGGTCTCTCCAAGGAGTTGAACTGCTGCTCATCTGTCACTTGATGAGATTGAGGTACAGCTACTGTGCACTTTGCTTACCTTGAAGTACTTTAGCTTGGGGCTGTAGGATACAGGGATACATCTCTCAGGCTGCACAAAGATATTACAGCACAGTTTTGCATTGTGTGATTTGGTTGCAGTGCTATTCAAAATGTTCACCTAAAAAATTCAGTAGTGTAGGAAATTTTTAATAATCCTCATTAAAAATTCTTCTAATGTGTGAAATCAGGGTACTACATACTATATTCTTAGAGATATTGATATCAGAGAGAGACAGTGGTGCAATTATGGTAAATTATGGTAAAGACAATTTTGGTAAAGACAATTTTGATGAATTCCACAGAACTAAGGAATCTGTAAGAGTGAAAGTAGAAGCCATCTAATGGTTTCCAAGCGATACATTATCTCAGTTTTGACTATGCCATACTGTCCTTTTTACAAATCATTTAGTGTGAGATATAACTGTCTCCTCAGCTTTATGCACTTCTAAGAACTTTTCTGCATACATGAATATGGTTTCAGTTATACAATAGTGATTGATTGTGGGGATGGTGAGAGAAACGATGAATAAAACTGAAAGTCAGAAATTGTTGATTCTGGTATTAATAATAGAAGTGTTTTGATGCTCTAATTGTACAAGAAAAGATTAGTTTATTTTTTAAAATACTGTTTACAGTTCAGGGGCTAATAAATGTTTATTTTTCAGTAACCTGTAAACCTTGTATTAAAGATATAGTTTGTGTGCTTGTGTGTTCATGCCTGTCTATGTCTCTCTCTTTGTCTGTATCTGTGTCTGTCTGTATCTGTATCTGCCTGTATGTGTCTGTCTCTGCATCTGTCTGTCAGTCTCTGCCTCTGTGTATGTGTCTGTCAATCTGTATGTCTTTCCTTTCATTTACTGACAGCATTCATTCACATTTTTAACCTGTTTTATTTCCAGGTTTATTGTATTAGCCATTATAGAAAGCCATGTGCACTGCTACTAAGCCATGTGTTGATTGTGATAATTGTCTCTTTCCAGATGGTCATTCATTGCCCCTATGAGTGTAACACGTAGTCGAGTAGCACTAGTAGCGAACATGGGTCGCTTATATGCGATTGGGGGTTATGATGGGGTTTCTAACCTGTCCACAGTTGAAGTGTACAATCCTGAACAAGATCAGTGGGAGTTCATCACATCCATGTGTGCACATGAGGGTGGAGTTGGGGTAGGTGTCATCCCACTTCCCTGAGTAGTGAGTTACATGTGATAGGGTTAAAGTACAGTAGAACCCCCATATCCGTGGATTCAGTTTCTGCGGTTTCACTTACGTATTCATAGTTTAGCCTAGCCCGAAAATAACCCTTAATTTTGCTTAATTATGGCCTTGAAGTGCGAAAGTAGTGATGCTGGCAGCTCTTCAAAGCCTAAGAGAAGCCGTGAAGTGCTGCCCATCAGTGAAAAAGCGCTAATTCATGACTTATTGTGCATAACATCAGTTAAACTTTATCATAGGTATGTACGTAAACAAAAAATGGCTTGTATATAGGGCTCGCTACTATGAACAGTTTTGGATATCCATGGTAGATCTTGGAAGGTATCCCCCATGGATATGGGGGGACTACTGTATACTTCTTAAGTTGTACCTCTTTCTTCAGAGAAACTAACAGTATTTATTTAGAACAACTTTTTGCACCATATTTTATTTTTTAGCTTTGTTTTTGTTTTTTCTGCAAATTCACTAGTAACAGAAAACAAGTGATATTTTTGCACTGATAGGTTTATTTTCACTTGTGCTATAATTAATTATTAATACTCATACATTCTTAAGAGCTGTAATTAGGGATTTATTGCATCCATAACAAATTGAGATCATCTATATTAAAATATCTTCTCATGATATAAAAACAGCTGTATTTTTGTAATACTGATGTAATATAAGGCACTAAGAGATTAATAGTTTGGTGCATTGTATTATCTCAATTCATTTTATTATTTAAGTTCTATGATTGATGGTGCTAATGAAAATCAATGTTAACGCATTATTCTGTGTATAAAAATTACCCATAAGTGATTTGAAGAGTATACCTTCAAATATGAACAAACTAGAATTGAACAGAATCAATCAAAACACCATGGCTGGAACAATTAACAACAAACCCACAGATTTATCTCTGTTTTGTGGATTTGTTGTTAAAAGTAGCCTTTATTTAAATATTGGCCCAGATTGATTCCAAAGTGAAAATTCCTAATACGTTTATTTATCTGTATTATACTGCAAATGTCTTTCTGTTGCAACCTTATTGAGAATTGTAAATAATTAGTAAATACATTTTCCATGTTTTCCACTTTAGTACTTATAAAGCTAAGCACTCATATTTTTACTAATGATACATGGGTCTATAAGGAAATGGGATGCAGTAATGTGTATAAAAAGTAACACCAGAGTTGTAAGATATTATAATTATGTAGTATTTTGAAGGGAGTTTTTGTTATTTTATAATTAAAGTCTGTCATTTGAAAGTAGCACTAGATTTTTCTATATCTTTAAGCTTAGCTGTCAGTGTTGTTTTAGAATTAAATTGTGTATTTTCAGGGAAACAGCTTTGGAGGTGTAGAATGTAAATCAGATATACTGTAGTACACTAACTGATTTGTATTAAGCAGTGCAAATAAAAAAGAGAATGTCGGGATGATGTCTGCGTAAAAATAATGAAGTATGAGAGTCATGTAGAAACAGGCTGTAGTCACAAAGTGGAAATGTTTACACCAGTATGAATGTGGAATGGTTGTATAGTCCACTTATGAGAGAATATAGACTAAAGGTAACAACGCCTTTAATAATTTGCCAGTAAACCCTTGTCACACAACTCGGAACTATGTATGATTGAACCATAACTCACATTCCTCTTTTTCACGTTTTTTTTCCTCGGTCCCCATCATCTGTTTTGTATGGTGCACAATTTCCTATCAGAGGTTTGCTTATTATTATTTTTTTTTTTTTGGGGGGGGGGGGGGAACTTACCACATACAGTAGGTCACATCTCCCACTTATTACTTCATTGTGTACCTGAAAATTCTTCCTAAGTCAGTTGTTTAGATCCTATTTTCCCCATAGACACCTGTATTATAACCTGAGATGAATTCTCAATCCACAAAATTCCATATCTAATTTAAGTTTTATATTTACTTAAGAATATTTACCTAGTACATTTAATCCTCAATATAGCTGACTGATAAGGGAAGAAAGTAGTGAAAGGCTGGGAATGACGATTGTGATGGATAGAGATGAGATTGTTTTGTTGTAAGCGTAACAATATCGGACACTTCTGATAAATCGTTGGTATACTGTACTTTTGCATTCTGTACTCTTCCTTGTCACTTACAAATAGTATTAAGCATCAAGTAATTTTTTTTTTTTAACAAGTTGGCCGTCTCCCACCGAGGCAGGGTGACCCAAAAAGAAAGAAAATCCCCCAAAAGAAAATACTTTCATCATCATTCAACACTTTCTCCTCACTCATACATAATCACTGTTTATGCAGAGGTGCCCAGAACACAACAGTTTAGAAGCATATACGTATAAAGATATACAACATATCCATCCAAACTGCCAATATTCCAAACCCCTCCTTTAAAGTGCAGGCATTGTACTTCCCATTTCCATTACTCAAGTCTGGCTATATAAAAATAACCGGTTTCCCTGAATCCCTTCACTAAATATTACCCTGCTTACACTCCAACAGCTCGCCAGGTCCCAAATACCACTCGTCTCCATTCACTCCTATCTAACACGCCCATGCATGCTTGCTGGAAGTCCAAGCCCCTTGCCCACAAAACCTCCTATATCCCCTCCCTCCAACCTTTTCAAGAACGACCCCTATCCCGCCTTCCTTCCCCTACAGATTTATACGCTCTCCATGTCATTCTACTGTGATTCGTTCTCTAAATGACCAAACCACCTCAACAACTGCTCTTCAGCCCACTGACTAGTACTTTTATTAACTCCACACCTTCTCCTAATTTCCACACTCTGAATTTTCTTCATAATATTTACACCACACATTGCCCTTAGACAGGACATCTCCACCGCCTCCTCGCTGCAGCATTTACAACCCAAGCTTCACACCCATATAAGAGTGTTGGTACCACTATACTTTCATACATTCCCTTCTTTACCTCCATAGATAATGTTTTTTGTCTCCACATATAGCTCAATGCACCACTCATCTTTTTTCCTTCATCAATTCTGTGGTTAACCTCATCCTTCATACATCCATCCACTGACACGTCAACTCCCAAATATCTGAAAAAATTCACTTCTTCCATACTCCTCCTTGCCAATTTGATATCCAGTTTTTCTTTATCTAAATCATTTGATACCCTCATCACCTTACTCTTTTCTAAGTTGACTTTCAACTTTCTACCTTTACACACACTCCAAAATTCATCCACTAACCTTTGCAACTTTTCTTTAGAATCTCCCATAAGCACATAATCATTAGTAAAAAGTATTTTTTTTTTTTATTATTAACACACTGGCCGATTCCCACCAAGGCAGGGTGGGCCGAAAAAGAAAAACTTTCACCATCATTCACTCCATCACTGTCTTGCCAGAAGGGTGCTTTACACTACAGTTTTTAAACTGCAACATTAGCACCCCTCCTTCAGAGTGCAGGCACTGCACTGCACATTTACTTCTTTTACAACCCCATCTTTAAATATATTAAACAACCATGGTGACATTACACATCCCTGTCTAAGACCCACTTTTACCGGGAAGTAGTCTCCCTATCTTCTACACACCCTAACCTGAGCCTCACTATCCTCATAAAAACTCTTTACAGCATTTAGTAACTTACTGCCTATTTCATATAGTACTTGCAACATCTGCCACATTGCTCCCCTATCCACTCTATCATATGCCTTTTCTAAATCCATAAATGCAATGAAAACTTCCCTACCTTTATCTAAATACTGTTCACACATATGCTTCAATGTAAACACTTGATCTACATGTCTTCTACCCACTCTAAAACCTCCTTGCTCATCCGCAATCCTACGTTCTGTCTTGCCTCTAATTCTTTCTTTAATAACCCTACCATACATTTTTCCTGGTAATATATATTAAGTAATATATACACTGTATATGTTAATTAAACAGAACAGAGTCACAGTAGAGTACACTGTGCAGTGTGGTACTAATATGTTGGGGGCAGGCAGCAACTGGATTGTCTCCTTCTTTTTGTCATTCCCCTATTCCTATCCTCTCTTTGCAGCACCTGTAGCTCAAGACTCTTTACATAAACTTACCATTCCATCAGTGTTATGGTATGTAGGTGTCTGGGTATACAGAATGGTAAGCTAGTTGGCGAGGATAATTGTGTGACGGGTGTAGCGTGAGCTTGTGCTGTCCTGGAATCATCGGACAAAATGAAAAAGAGTCTCTAATTCCAGATTTTGTCTGGAATTAGAGTGATTCTAACATTTATCCCACACAGGCTAGATCAGCCACTTCCATCCAGGACCTGCCTGTTTTCATTGTTCTTTAAGTCACAGACCACTCATGCCAGTTTATTGTCTGCATACACACACACACTTGTCTTTCAGTCTCCAATTCTCCTTGGATTTACAGTGTTTGGTGTGACTATTTTTTTACACAGATCAGTTTTACAGGCTAGGAGCTGATATTCTCCTCAGCTTATTTGAAAGCCCAGCCTTAAGTAAAATCCTAGGGTTGTGTAAGGTATGAAAAATTAATTTCAGAATTTGGAGTCTGTGAACAATTAGCACTAATGAAAAGTAGCAAGTGAAAATATCAGAATTGTACATAGTTTATGATATTTTAAATACATTTGGTATTTTGAGGTGAATTTATTTTCCATAATTTCAGGACTTAATTTTAAATAGTCACAAATGCAATTTTTCACATGTTACTTTGTTAATTATGGTATGTTTTAGTGAGTATTGTCAACTGGGATTTATTTGGTAAAATACTGAGAAAAATCTGAAATTCAGCTTTAAGAAATTTATAAATATTAAATTTATGGTTCTTCATCTGTTTCTACCAAACAAACAAACATCCACGAAGTGTGAATGAATTTGGTAGCTAACCAAGAAAGCATACAATAAAGCCTCTATAAAGTGGATATTGGCTAAAATGGACAAAATATTCTGGTCGGACAAAGGCTCAACATGTCTGCCTAACGGGATATCCAATAAAAATAGCAGTGCAGCTGACCAAATTTGCTATATTGCATTGCTGTCCATTGATATACAGTATAATGTTACTGTCAATATAGTGGGCCAAGTCCAATTAACCCTTTGACTGTTGAAACCCCAAATCCTGAGGTGTCTCCTGGTGTTGAAAAATTTTTGAAAAAAAAAAAATGTCTTTTCCCAATGGTAATGACACCAAACAAACGAAATTTGATGGAAAACTTACGGAATTACACTCTCGCGAAGTTAGCGACCTCGGCGATATTTACAAATCGGCGATTTTGCCCACTTTGAGCCCTATTTTCGGCTAATTCCATTGTTCCAGTCAGCCAAACTCATAGCTATTTCTTTAGAACTCCATTTTTTCTATCGACTGAGTACAAGAAACTGCCCATTTACTGATTTTCAACTACCTAATAACGTGGTCAGAAATTTGCAATTTGGCCAGTTTCACGCAAATTAAAAAATATGCCAATTTCAAAATAGGGTCCAGAATGAACAATGCAGACATTCCTGGCTCTAAAATTACTGATATTACTCTTGGTTTCTATATTGAATTTTTATTCAAACAAAAAATAGAAGATTTACTGTTCTACAGACTACTGCAATATTGTAATAATTGTATAAATAATGTCAACCCATTCATGACTGCATATTAGAATGGCTAGATGGACATGTATTGGACAACGACATCATTTCTTTACTTTTGAACATCGGCAAAAATCAAACATTTCCCCTACTTTGAGCTCCATTTCATGGTTCTTTTCATAGTAAAACCAATAAAAATCACCTCTATTTCTATAATATGTTTTCCATTCTATCAAATGAAATCAAGAAAACGAGAATACAACCATAAATACTATACAAAAATAGACCACAAAATCGGTGTTTAAATTAAAAAAAAAAACGGTCGGAGTTTTTTTCTAATTATGCACTGCGTGCTGCAGGATTTTTTTTTATATGGTGCACACTGACCACACAAACCCATTCTCTCACATGTGGGCCTACCAGCTTTCTCCTGCTTGATTTGAAGCCGCTAGAATTTATGGGTATATATACGTCAAACATGGTGGCTCGTAAGACGTATATTTCTTTCTTCTTTCTTTCAACACACCGGCCGTATCCCACCGAGGTGGGGTGGCCCAAATGGAAAAACGAAAGTTTCTCCTTTCAAATTTAGTAATATATACAGGAGAAGGGGTTACTAGCCCCTTGTTCTCGGCATTTCAGTCGCCTCTTAACGACACGCATGACTTACGGAGGAAGAATTCTGTTCCACTTCCCCATGGAGAGAAAAGGAAATAAACAAGAACAAGAACTATAAAGAAAATAGCAAAAAACCCAGAGGGGTGTGTTATATATATATGCTTGTACATGTATGTGTAGTGTGACCTAAGTGTAAGTAGAAGTAGCAAGACATACCTGAAATCTTGCATGTTTATGAGACAGACAAAAGACACCAGCAATCCTACCATCATGTAAAACAATTACAGGCTTTTGTTTTACACTCACTTGGCAGGGCGGTAGTACCTCCCTGGGCAGTTGCTGTCTACCAACCTACTACCTAGGTAAGACATATATTTACGACCAAAACAGTCAAAGGGTTAATAACAAGTTTGTTTGGTCCAGGGTTCATCCTGGATGCTTTCATTTTTTATTATTCTTGGGCAGTGAGGCCAGTGACTCAGACTGCATCAGTTTGTTATTGTCTGTGCTTGTACGTACTCATATACCATTGTTTTGTCTCCAGTTTTCCCTGGATTTTCAGTGGTTTCCCTGACTTTATTAAAGTATCTAAAGCAAGTGATGGTGTCAGGAAGCTTGTGATCTTGACTGTTAAGTACATAGTGTAGTCTGCCACCAAACGTGTGATATTACTGCTGGAGCTTTACAGCTATTCTGACTTAGACCACTAGACCACATGGGAATACTGTACACCTGTAAACTCATCTATACTGTAAATTTTCTTTTCAGGTACAGATACAGCTGTATTGTACAGTGCTGTATTGTAATATTGTACTTCATTTATTCTTAGTATGTCTTTTAGTCTTTCAATACAGTGGACTAATCTGATTCATTGGGTATTTGTCCATGTCCAGTAGTCAGTCAGTGAAGGAGACATGTGAAGGTATAGACACCCTTTCAATCCTCAAAGGGTATTTGAAAGGACCCTTCCTTCTTATGAAAAGAAAATAGAAAAATTAACAATAACATGTAAGAATAATCAGTCATAAAAAAAGTATGCAAAAATAATTTATTTAAGTATAAAACACTTAAAACATGAAAATTTTCTAGCTGAAACAAAACATGAAAAATTAAATACATAAAATAATTATGTGAAACTAAGCTAAGATGTTCTTATATACAACTATATGCAGGACTAGGAATGATGGTATTCCTGTGTGCAGATGGATTGTAGCCTTGTAAGATTCCTGTAGAAACATCTGGTAGGCAGTATCATTTCAAAGGCCTGAGGGAATTCAGTTGTGGACTCAATGTAGTGTGTACTCCTTACAAAGAAAATGGGCAGGGCTTGGTACAGTGCAGCTGTAGTGGCCCTTCAAACCAACAACAGTTGCACAAGTGATGATCATAACTTCATTACATATTTTTTTCTTTTTAAGATATACTAGAGAGTGACAGTTTCATCCAGCCTAAAATTCTTTGTTCCTCTTGCTTGTTGCTATAGAAGTTTATGGACATGGTTGATGTAGATATACTGGTCCTCAAATAGCAGGAATTTTTTTGTGGCTGTGATCAACTGATGTGCATTCATAACCTTTATGATGCAATCTTCTTGTGTAAAATAGGTTAAACAGTGACAAGAAAGAATGTTATCCTATCCTAAATTCCTTGTTGTTCCTGCTTATTTCTGCAGAAGTGTGTGAAAATGGTTGATGTGAACACTGGGCCAAAAACATGGCAGGGAAAATCACACATACTCCACTTTTAGCACCGAAGCTGCCTGTTACATGTTAGTATGTCCACAGGATGTATGTCTGTGACATACTAGTAAGTTATCATTTGTTACAGCACCTTCAGATTATCCAGGAGCAGCAAATGTTGACCTACACATAAGAAAATTCATCTACACTGTGGATGTGTCCCATGATGGGAACATCTATAACTTATGACCCTATGTTTGAATGAAAATAACAATTTAGGGGCATTTTCTAGGATGGTTTTTGTGGTTTTATTGGCTGTTTCTTCGTGCCAATAGATAGACTGGAAGACATTCTAGTGAAATGGGCAAATTTTGGTCAGTATATAATCAAAAGTGGCTCAAAATAGGCATAAAATCTTTGAGAAATGGTAGATTTTGGGTGATTTTCCTGGGCTTGTGTTCTCCAACTGCCTCCTTCCCTCAGTTTTTGGATTTTTTACCAGATTAACTTTTAATTATTGAGACTGCCTAAACATGACTAACCATTCTTGGTCATGATTTATTAGCTGAGAAATAGGCAAAGGTTTTTAGTAACTGGAATGCCTGCAGTTTTTATTTTTGATTTTAAAAATAATGTGAAATTGACTAAGTAACTAACCTCTGGTTGCTGAATAGGGTGATTCTGATGGCATTTTTTTTGCAATCAGTGGATTCTATGGCAGGAATACTAGCAAAAGAGAAGAGAACAGGGTCAATTTGATCACTGGAATAGACCTACAATAGGCATCAAAGTGGACAAAATTGCTGTTGCATAAAATTCTCCGTGATCTTTAAATTTGTGCCTCGTAATTCTGCAAGTATTTCAGCAGTTTTTGTATTTTTGATGTGATTACCTTTAGAAAAATCATTCTCGACTATTTTAGAAGTTTTTTTTATAAATTTCCTATACAGAAGGGGCATTTAATTTGGGGCTTCTGATAGTGTAAGGGTTAAGCATACTATTTAAGAACTCATTTTTTTTAAAACTTGAACTTTCATGGTTATTCTTTTTGGCACCTATAGCATCACTGTCCTCCCTCTTGGGTGGCCCGGTTAATACCCCTCAGAGATTAGATGGGCTGGTACAAAGGTTGAAAATTGATTATGTATCACATGACTGAGTAAGGTATAGGAAGCACACACATTATAGACTAAGGGCAATGCTTGATCTCACTCTTGATCTCAAGAGTGAGATCAAGCATTGCCCTTATTCCGATTACCTTTGTGTATTTCTATACACCAGGAAAGCTAGCAGTGGGGCCTCTGCTGACCTTTGTAATGTAAAGAAATCCACTTAATTGGCTAAATGTTATTGGGTAGGTATGATACTGTGGATAGTGCATTGGGTTATTAGTTTTGTGACTGACTCACCATAGGTTTGAACCCCACTCCTCTGTTCATTGAGTTGTTTACAATCATGTCCTTACAATTTCTTGAATCATATATATGTAAATATATAAATGATTTTATAGGTAGTAGGTTGGTAGACAGCAACCGCCCAGGGAGGTACTACCGTCCTGCCAAGTGAGTGTAAAACGAAAGCCTGTAATTGTTTTACATGATGGTAGGATTGCTGGTGTCTTTTGTCTGTCTCATAAACATGCAAGATTTCAGGTACGTCTTGCTACTTCTACTTACACTTAGGTCACACTACACGTACATGTACAAGCACACCCCTTTGGGTTTTCTTCTATTTTCTTTCTAGTTCTTGTTCTTGTTTATTTCCTCTTATCTCCATGGGGAAGTGGAACAGAATTCTTCCTCCGTAAGCCATGCGTGTTGTAAGAGGCGACTAAAATGCCGGGAGCAAGGGACTAGTAACCCCTTCTCCCATATAAATTACTAAATTTAAAAAGAGAAACTTTCGTTTTTCTTTTTGGGCCACCCTGCCTTGGTGGGATACGGCCAGTTTGTTGAAAAAAAAATATAAATGATTTGGACATTTAGAGGGGGAGAAACAGAATAAAATGATGAAGAGAAAGGATAAATTTGGGGTGGAAGGAAGGAGGTGCAGGAGTCATCAGGAAGAGTTGGAAAGAATAGTCACAATACCATGGCCTGAACAATTCACAGATAAGCTGTACTCAGATGAGGAATCTTGTGAAGTCAGTAGTAGAGGATAGACCAAAACATTGGCATAATGCTTCTTTTCTTAGTGTGCATTATTTGTGAATCCAACAGGCTTTTCAGACTGTATTAGGTTAGAGTAAGTGGAGACAAGTGGTTTATATGGCTTGATGTACTGTTAGTGTAAGCAGTGTAACATTCATGAAGGGATTCAAGGATGCTGGTTAGCCGTACTTGGGTCCCGGAGGTGAGAAGTACGGTGTCTGCACTCTGAAGGATGGGTGAGCATGTTGCAGTTTGGAAGGTCATTTTGAACTGTGATGTCTAAACACTTCTGGCAAGACATCTGTTGAATGATAGATGTTGAATGTATGTACCTTTATTTTTTTGAGGGGGTGTGTCACCCTGCCATTAGGAAACGGTTTTGAGTTTAAAAAATATACACCATACTGTATGTATACACACACACAAACGTGTATATATATACTACACATACTTGCATATACAGTTATTGGTATGTGTTAGAGTATGAATTGGTTTGGATTATTTAATATAGTGGAAATTTTGAGCATTCCTGTCTTCACAAAGGTTTAATAGATGAAAAAATCAGTCTTCCTATAAATCCACATGATTGCCATACACAATTTGTCACATTTTTCCAGAACGGTATTTTACAAACAGTATATTTTCACCCTCTACCTTGTAACCAGCATGAAATAATGGCAATGTGTACTCTCAGTATATTCTTAATAAGCAGGTTCTGTGATGCTTTGAAACCTGGGCACATATTTTTTGCTATCTGTGCTTAATCAAGTATGGTATTTAACAATTCTCTACCAATATTATACTGTGTATATTTGTCACTTGCTTCATGTTTAATGGGAGGTGTATGTGTAGATTGTTATGATAGGACTGAGCAGAGCCATACATGGTGTCAGAAAGGAAGTTTCAGATGAGTTTCATTAAGCTTTGTTATTTCACTGACCTGCCAGCAGTTAAACTACTTTGGTTAACAACTGTCAGCATCAACGTGAATGAACCACCATTCCAAAGACACGTTAAAAAATGAAAAGGATCAATTACATAATAGTGAAGGATTAATTAACATTTATGTATTCTCTAACTAAAATTGCTCCTGGTATATTACACTTAAAACCTTATCTTAAATAGTATTAATGTTACAGAAAAATATAACTATGATTTTGAGAAAATAATATAAACTTCTGCAGTCTGTAATCATATATTACTGTACATCTTTAATTGCTGAATATTTATTAAGCTCTCTTATAAAGCTCTTCTACATATATAGAGCTATTTTTTTGTAAATGTGGTTGAAAAAGAGGATTCAGAAATGAAAGGCGTGTGTGTGGCTTTTCAATTCTGACTGTTCTGTTATAGTTGCGTTTGCAACAAATCACACTGTAAATAGAAGCTTTATAAGAGAACTGACTATATTTCACTGGGCATTTTGCTCTTAATCTTTGCCATTTAGTAATATACAATGTTTGCTTTTTCACAATATAGGTCTTACTAAATAATATCACATTACTTAGCCTAAAATAAATATAAAATCTTGTCTTGAATATATATGAGGTATTTACATGTTAAAAGTCTGTAAATATGCCCTGAAGGAATACTTTTTAACCTGTATTTATTGTCTTATGTTTCCCGTTGTTAGTATCAGCTGATGCCTTGCCTTGAATGTTGTAAAATTACTCTCATAATGTTCACAGGGTTGCAGTTTCCATTGCCATAGGTCAGATGTATGTTTATATATTGTAACCAGATATCAGCGAGGACAACTAAATGTTTCATATTTATTGTATGTTAAACAAAATGAATGTTTCCTTACAATGACAGTAAATATTAGATTAATTAATTAAAGCGAGGTAAGTAGGATTTACATGTTTTTATTATAGGATAACATTTGTAATGTGTAGCATAAATGTACTGAAGTCTCAGAGCAGTCATACTTTCATTTCTTAGGTACTGTACATACTTTTCCATTTTGCAAAGTTGGATTATATGATTTAACCCCTAAACGGTCCAAATGTATATATACGTTTTTACCGCTAGCGCCCCAAACGTATATATACGTTTTATTTTTCCTGCCTCCAAATTTGGCATGATTGGCCTGAGATGCCTGGTCAGCATAGAATGGGTCTTAACACTCAGTATGCACCATATTAAAAAAATCTGGGACCACTTAATACCTTATGGGAATGCCAGCTAGAGCAAACACCAAGGATTCACTGATGTAATGTCATATTAACACTTCCCTTTTAAGAGGAAAGTGATGTTAACCCCAAGTTTAGGGTCTGTCTATCTGTCTCTCTCTGTCTGTGTCTGTCTATGTGTCTTTGTCTATCTGTCTCTGTCTCTATCTCTTTTTATCTGTCTCACAGGTACACACAAATACAATTATACATAGTGTAAATTACCTAGGATAACCTAAAAAATCCGAAGTGCTATACTGTGCTTGTAGATATAATGCACAAGAATACCTGTTGGTTCACAGTGGCTCTCTCCGAGACAGAGAGAGAGAGAGAGAGAGACAAGCAGAGAGATGGAAAGAGACAAGCAGACAGAGATACAGATAATCAGAGACAGAGATACGAGCACCCTCACTGGTGCCCATCAAATGTCATCCCTTATCTTATCTTGTCACTGCCCTCCCGGATGCTTGTCACTGACACTTGTCTTAGTAACACATTGCTTCAAGGGAACGTCTTCCTTCTTCTTCTTCTATACTCCCGTGTATCCAAAACATTGCTGGGACCTATAAATACTTTGTATATATTCCTAGACAATAGTAAATGACCAAGGCAGGTGTACATGTCCACTTGTCAATGTGTTTGTGACAATTTGAGTATAATTTCAGTACCTAATATTAGTGTCAGAACAACGATTGATTATGAAATGACAAGAACTACAATAAATTGTAATTATCAGAACATAAAAATTATATAAAATAATATAAAAATGAGAAAAAATGGTATATCGGCAGCACTTTACTGTAACACTTAGAAAAAAATTCTCTTTATTTCAATGAAAAAAAAAAAGATTTTTTTTTATTTTTTCAAAATATTCGGGGCACTGGGCGAGAGAACGTATATATACGTTTGGACCGTTTAGGGGTTAAGGCCTGTGGACTACACAAGGGTCATTAAGGCCACATAACACCTGTATACCACCAGACAAGGATACTGGAATCCTTAAAGTAGGGATTAAACTCAGATATACACATCTTTCATGGAGTGTACTGTAAACTTTCAATATAACGGACTAATAGGGGGAAGAGAATTGTCTGAATGTCCATTAAATTGGAATGTTTAAAAGTAGCAAAAAAAAAAAAATTACCCTGTATCTAATATAGTACTGTACACAATTTATAGTTGTTCTTCAATAAACATTCAAAAGAAATTAATTAAAAGTACCCTCTACTTCGTGGATTTTCCCCCATATTTCAAAAAATCATTATATCGAAGGTTTACTGTATATAACCTTGCAAGATTTGGAATAAATTGAAACTAGAGAAAGAAAATACATGTATCACATTTTGCATATGAATTTCTGTGGAACATTTCATCATTAACTTTTACTGAAAAGCTTTCAATTAGTCCAGAATGGAATTGAAACAGATGGACTGTGGTAAGAACTTTACTGTGATATTGTCAGATGACACATTTATCAGCAATGATAATACACTCGTCTTATTTTTTTGCCCATTGTTTTCAAAATGTAAGGAAGATTTATTTGTTTTACACTGCTGTACCTGCTAGTTAAGATTAAGAACCCAGATAAAATGTTTCATGAAAAATATAAAAAAAATTGAACAGTAAATTTGTTTCATACACCCATTAGAGATTCAGAATACTCTTAATCATGTTTGAAATCCTGGGTTAATGGTAAGTCCCTTTTATTTTTATTATTAACACACTGGCCGATTCCCACTAAGGCAGGGTGGCCCGAAAAAGAAAAACTTTCACCATCATTCACTCCATCACTATCTTGCCAGAAGGGTGCTTTACACTACAGTTTTTAAACTGCAACATTAACACCCCTCCTTCAGAGTGTAGGCACTGTACTTCCCATCTCCAGGACTCAAGTCCGGCCTGCCGGTTTCCCTGAACCCCTTCATAAATGTTACTTTGCTCACACTCCAACAGCACGTCAAGTATTAAAAACCATTTGTCTCCATTCACTCCTATCAAACACGCTCACGCATGCCTGCTGGAAGTCCAAGCCCCTCGCACACAAAACCTTCTTTACCCCCTCCCTCCAATCTTTCTCTGCAACTTCTCTTCAGAATCTCCCAAGAGCACAGTGTCATCAGCAAAGAGCAACTGTGACAACTCCCACTTTATGTGTGATTCTTTATCTTTTAACTCCATGCCTCTTGCCAAGACCCTCGCATTTACTTCTCTTACAACTCCATTGATAAATATATTAAACAACCATGGTGACATCACACATCCTTGTCTAAGGCCTACTTTTACTGGGAAATAATTTCCCTCTTTCCTACATACTCTAACTTGAGCCTCACTATCCTCGTAAAAACTCTTCACTGCTTTCAGTAACCTACCTCCTACACCATACACCTGCAACATCTGCCACATTGCCCCCCTATCCACCCTGTCATACGCCTTTTCCAAATCCATAAATGCCACAAAGACCTCTTTAGCCTTATCTAAATACTGTTCACTTATATGTTTCACTGTAAACACCTGGTCCACACACCCCCTACCTCCGTCTTACTCTTAATTCTTTCAATAATAACTCTACCATACACTTTACCAGGTATACTCAACAGACTTATCCCCTATAATTTTTGCACTCCTTTTGTCCCCTTTGCCTTTATACAAAGGAACTATGCATGCTCTCTGCCAATCCCTAGGTACCTTACCCTCTTCCATACATTTATTAATAATTGCACCAACCACTCCAAAACTATATCCCCACCTACTTTTAACATTTCTGTCTTTATCCATCAATCCCGGCTGCCTTACCCCCTTTCATTTTACCTACTGCCTCATGAACTTCCCCCACACTCACAACTGGCTCTTCCTCACTCCTACAAGATGTTATTTCTCCTTCCCCTATACACGAAATCACAGCTTCCCTGTCTTCATCAACATTTAACAATTCCTCGAAATATTCCCTCCATCTTCCCAATAGACCTCTAACTCTCCATTTAATAACTCTCCTCTCCTATTTTTAACTGACAAATCCATTTGTTCTCTAGGCTTCCTTAACTTGTTAATCTCACTCCAAAACTTTTTCTTATTTTCAACAAAATTTGTGATAACATCTCACCCACTCTCTCATTTGCTCTCTTTTTACATTGCTTCACCACTCTCTTAACCTCTCTCTTTTTCTCCATATACTCTTCCCTCCTTGCAATCACTTCTACTTTGTAAAAACTTCTCATATGCTAACTTTTTCTCCCTTACTACTCTCTTACATCATCATTCCACCAATCGCTCCTCTTCCCTGCCGCACCCACTTTCCTGTAACCACAAACTTCTGCCCGAACACTCTAACACTACATTTTTAAACCTACCCCATACCTCTTCGACCCATTGCCTATGCTCTCATTAGCCCATCTATCCTCCAATAGCTGTTTATATCTTACCCTAACTGCCTCCTCTTTTAGTTTATAAACCTTCACCTCTCTCTTCCCTGATGCTTCTATTCTCCTTGTATCCCATCTACCTTTTACTCTCAGTGTAGCTACAACTAGAAAGTGATCTGATATATCTGTGGCCCCTCTATAAACATGTACATCCTGAAGTCTACTCAACAGTCTTTTATCTACCAATACATAATCCAACAAACTACTGTCATTTCGCCCTACATCATATCTTGTATACTTATTTATCCTCTTTTTCTTAAAATATGTACTACCTATAACTAAACTCCTTTCTATACAAAGTTCAATCAAAGGGCTCCTATTATCATTTACACCTGGCACCCCAAACTTACCTACCACACCCTTTCTAAAAGTTTCTCTTACTTTAGCATTCAGGTCCCCTACCACAATTACTCTCTCACTTGGTTCAAAGGCTCCTATACATTCACTTAACATCTCCCAAAATCTCTCTCTCTCCTCTACATTCCTCTCTTCTCCAGGTGCATACACGCTTATTATGACCCACTTCGCATCCAACCTTTACTTTAATCCGCATAATTCTTGAATTTACACATTCATATTCTCTTTTCTCCTTCCATAACTGATCCTTCAGCATTACTGCTACCCCTTCCTTTGCTCTAACTCTCTCAGATACTCCAGATTTAATCCCATTTATTTCCCCCCACCGAAACTCCCCTACCCCCTTCAGCTTTGTTTCGCTTAGGGCCAGGACATCCAACTTCTTTTCATTCATAACATCAGCAATCATCTGTTTCTTGTCATCTGCACTACATCCATGCACATTCAAGCATCCCAGTTTTATAAAGTTTTTCTTCTTCTCTTTTTTAGTAAATGTCTACAGGAGAAAGGGTTACTAGCTCATTGCTCCCTTATTTATTATAATTGATATTGGCATGGATAAATGGTGAAAAATGGATTACATGATTGAGTCGTAGTGAACTCGGGCTCATCTTTTGGGACTAAGAGTTAAATTATTTGCAAAAACAGAAAAATCACAAGCTTTTATTGGAATATTTCTCTACTATGAATTTCTAACAGAGCAAAAAAGTGTCTTGATAAAGCTTGTTCTGCAACATATCTTTCCTTCATTATTATTGACAGTATACCATTTCAATCCAGAGAGCCTTCAGTTTTATTCTTGTTTAAACCATACTGTGGGAACTGGTGGAGCCCTTTAACTACACAGCATATTCCTCCATACTATATACAGTGGACCCTGCTTAATGACCTAAATAGGTACCAAAGGAATGGTTTCCTAACCTTTTTAGTGGCCATCATGTAGATCTGCATTTTGAGCACAGCTTTCCCAGATAAGCTGTGAGGGGTAAATTTTGCCAAGATATGAGAGAAAATAAGAAAAAGTTTTGGAGTGAGATTAACAAGTTAAGAAAGCCTAGAGAACAAATGGATTTGTCAGTTAAAAATAGGAGAGGAGAGTTATTAAATGGAGAGTTAGAGGTATTGGGAAGATGGAGGGAATATTTTGAGGAATTGTTAAATGTTGATGAAGATAGGGAAGCTGTTATTTCGTGTATAGGACAAGGAGGAATAACATCTTGTAGGAGTGAGGAAGAGCCAGTTGTGAGTGTGGGGGAAGTTCGTGAGGCAGTAGGTAAAATGAAAGGGGGTAAGGCAGCCGGGATTGATGGGATAAAGATAGAAATGTTAAAAGCAGGTGGGGATATAATTTTGGAGTTGTTGGTGCAATTATTTAATAAATGTATGGAAGAGGGTAAGGTACCTAGGGATTGGCAGAGAGCATGCATAGTTCCTTTGTATAAAGGCAAAGGGGATAAAAGAGAGTGCAAAAATTATAGGGGGATAAGTCTGCTGAGTATACCTGGTAAAGTGTATGGTAGAGTTATTATTGAAAGAATTAAGAGTAAGACGGAGAATAGGATAGCAGATGAACAAGGAGGCTTTAGGAAAGGTAGGGGGTGTGTGGACCAGGTGTTTACAGTGAAACATATAAGTGAACAGTATTTAGATAA